TTCCCTCTAAAATACAGTTCCCTGAAGCCATGCAAGGCCTTCTTCTCTCTATGCTGCCTGGCCCTGCTGCCCTGCCCTGAGATTTAACCACACCCAACTCTCCCCTTACTATTCCTAGGGAAGACGCCTGTCATACTTTTCAAGTAATTTTTCCTAGATGACCTTGTCTACTTTAACCCTGACTATCCAACTCAAATCCGTCAGTGCCGATATTCCCTATCTCCCTAGTCTGTGAATGAATAGTCTTGAGGCTTTCTATGTAACCAGCACTAACTAGCATGTCGAACTGAATTCCCAGCATCCAACAAGATTGGGGGCACAGAGCTGCTTTCTGTTTCTCTGCATAACCCTTCCCTCCTTAACACAGCCCAGTGCTCCTCCCCAAAGGGGCAGGTTCAGCCCCAAGAATTGAATCACTTCCTCAAAAAAGCCCATCAGTTTGATCCAAATTTTGGATCAAAGTTTGATGAGCTTAAGGGGATTTCACCCACTGACCCCCAAAAGTGTACTGTGCAGCCCAGCAGATGTTGTTTCTTCCCCAGACGTCTGGTGACAAAGGCATCTCTGCCTTCCCTGAATCCGACAACCTTTTCAAATGGGTGGGGACCATCCATGGGGCAGCAGGCACAGTAAGTGCAGGGTGAGGTAGGTGAGTGTGACTTTGCGGGGTCTGGGGGTGGGGCTGGGGTGAAAACCAAGTGCAGGTCGGCGAGCTTTGAGCCTGGTTCCACACGTGCCTGTCCTGTTCTGGTGCTCTGAGCCCGGGGCCCTTGTGTCTCCCTCTGTCCAGGAAGACATTGGGTTGAAAGCAGGGCTCTCCATTTCAGATGCCTATAGGGGCCCGAACAGAAAGAAGGATGGAGGGTACGTGAGGACTTTGGCCAGTGGGAGGGCACCAGTCTCAAGATGGCAGCTTCCCATTGCTGCAGATCTGGTTAAAGATGAGTCAGAAATCCAGGGGCGCCTAGCTGGCGCAGTCAGTGAACGCGCGACTCTTGATCTCAGGGTTAAACGTTCAAGCCCCGTGTTGGGTATAGAGATTACTTAAAAACAAAACCTTTTAAAAAAAACAAATTCAGTGTGGCGCCCGAGTGGCTCAGTGGGTTAAGCGGCTGCCTTCGGCTCAGGTCGCGATCCCGGGGTCCTGGGATCGAGCCCCGCATCGGGCTCCCCGCTCGGCAGGAAGCCTGCTTCTCCTTCTCCCACTCCCCCTGCTTGGGTTCCCTCCCTCGCTGTGTCTGTCTCTGTCAAATAAATAAATAAAATCTTTAATAGTAAAAAAAAAAAAAAAAAAAAAGGTGGCAGCATCTCAAGTGTCCATTCATGGACACAAAAGGGAATATTATTTAAAAAAACAACAACAACAAATTCAGGTGTATGTCTAAAATATCCTGATTTTTCCATGGCAGCAGCTAATGTGGCGGCTGACTAAAGCCCAGCTGTGGTAGTCCTCAGGATAGTCCTCGGGATGCCGGTTTACACCGAAGGATCACTGATGTCCCTACCAGATAGGAGAGAAAGTACCAGAGCCAGTATAACACTTTGTCTTTTGTCAAGTCCCAGGCAAACTCAAAGGTCCTTACGAGCCCTTTACCGGGGCTTGGGTTGGGATATGAGGCTCAGGGTGGGAGGCTCACTCCCGCCCTCTGTTTCTCCAATGCCAGGTGTATGAAGACCTGAGGTATAAGCTCTCCCTGGAGTTCCCCAGTGGCTACCCTTACAACGCGCCCACGGTGAAGTTCCTCACACCCTGCTACCACCCCAACGTGGACACCCAGGGGAACATCTGCCTGGACATCCTGAAGGACAAGTGGTCTGCCCTGTATGATGTCAGGACCATCCTGCTGTCCATCCAGAGCCTGCTAGGAGGTGACTTCTGAGACCAGCGCCTCCCCCTGAGACTGGGAACCTGTCGGGACCCCCCACCCCCACCCCCAGCTAGCCTCTTCTCCTACTTAACCATTCTCTTTCTTTCCATCCACAGAACCAAACATTGATAGTCCTTTGAACACGCATGCTGCCGAGCTCTGGAAAAACCCCACAGGTGGGTCCTTCATCCTTCTCGGGCACCGGGTGATCCCTCCCCAGTATTCAAAGGCTCCCTCAAACAGAAGGATCCTGGTGACTTGGGATTGTGTCCTGAGGACTGGGTTGGGGTGGGTGTCAACCCAGATAACCCAGTTCTACCTCGGCCTCGGTGTTTCTGATTTGCCTGTTTGCTGTAAAATCAGAAAGCTAACTTTCCACATTAATGTAGGTTGAGGGACTTTTTAAGTAGAAAGCAAACTTTGTGTAAATGACTTGCTCACTAAGAACCCCAGTCACCTCCCCAGCATCCCTGGGAGAAGAACCCATCCAGGAGACCTGACCAGGCAGGCCGCAGCAGGAGAATCTGTTGTGTCAGGAGATCCTCCCCAGCTCCCCAGACTTCTCCCACCTTTGTATCCTTGCCTGCCCCCTTGCCCACTGTAACCCTTGTAACCTGATGTTACTGGGTCCCTTGTAACCTTGTCCCCACCACTCCCTGAGACCTGCCTGTTCTCTTCCAGCCTTTAAGAAGTATCTGCAAGAAACCTACTCAAAGCAGGTCTCCAGCCAAGATCCCTAACCATCCAGCCTCTCTCTTTGTGTTGTCTTTTTATTTTCTCCTTAGATAGTCTTTCTCTTCATTTCTGTCCAGGACTCTGTATCTTAAGCTGTGGTGTCATTTTTGTTTTGTTTCTGTTTTTTAAATTAAGTCTCCAGTTGAGCCCTTGTGATGAATATATTAAATAAATACATTGGGTTTTTTTTTACAAGTTGCCTTGTCGTTACCCCAGGGTTGGGAGGGCTCAGGGTCGGTGGAGTAGGGTCCCAGCTCTTGCCCTGCTCCTGTTCCCAAAGCCTGGAGAGGCAGCTGACAGGCTGAGCAGCTGAGCAAGGGGGTGATGAGGATTCCTTCCCTTGTGACCTTAGTCATTTTATGACTGCATCTCTTTCCTCCTCTATAAGACGGTGTTACAGAATGCCTTTCTATCGAGTTGTGACATGTACCAGGAATGGTGGTGGATACTGGAGTTCTCCCGGCGGAATAGAGATGAGGCTGAACCAGACCTTGAAGCAAAACAGCTGTAGCTGTAGGAAGAGTATATATGCACACCTGGGCGCACAGCAGGGGCTTGGGAGGTGAGGACCAGCCACCTACTCTCTCTGAGGGGGTGTTCTGGTCCTGAGACGGAGAAAGAAGGCACTCAGGTCACCCTACAGCAGGCCTAGGGTCTGGGAGACAGCCAGGGAACACCTCTTTCCTGCCAGAGACCCCAGGACAGCTCGACTCAGCCCTTACCCCAGGCCCCCCGATGAATGGCTCCACACTCCCAGGGAGTACATTCACCTGCTCATCTCCACCAGTGGGTCGTCCGGCTGCTGCACCCACTGGCCCAGGCCCCCAGCCCTGAGGCCCTCTTGACACTGGCCTGCCACAGGCACCAGCAGGGGCAGGCAGGGGAGAAGAGCAGGCTAGGGGGGCACCTGGGTGGCTCAGTTGGTTAAGCAACTGCCTTCGGCTCGGGTCATGATCCTGGAGTCCCGGGATCAAGCCCCGCATCAGGCTCCCTGCTCAGCAGGGAGTCTGCTTCTGCCTCTGACCCTCCCTCCTCTCATGTTCTCTCTCATTCTCTCTCTCTCAGATAAATAAATTTTTTTAAAAATCTTTAAAAAAATAAAAAGAAGAGCAGGCTAGGGTGATGGCCCTGGTCCAGTCCCGCAAGATCTCCAGGGTGGACGGACACAACAGCCAGGTGCCCTCCAACATGGCCTGGGGGGAGGGGGAGGAAGACAGTAGTGGAGGGCATCAGGAACGTTCTCACTTTCCTTTTGCTCCTGCCAGCCCAGGCTCCTTTCCTGCCCTGTGCCCCCACTGAGCAGGGGCAGTGGCAGGCAGGGAAGAAGTGGCCCGGCGGGTCTGGGATGGGATTTGGATGACCTCCCCGAGTCCTTCTCCTGAGGTGCTGTTAGCTCTCCCCTGGGGGGTTGGAGCAGTGCTGCCCAATCCAAGGTGCAGATAAATCTGCCAGGGGTCTACCCCAAATGCAAACTTGGATTCAGTCAGTCTGGGTGGGGCCTGAGGTCCTACATCTCTAGAAATTAAAGGTGTAGAGCGGTGTTCTCAAGGTGTGGCCCTTTCACCTGGAACTTGGTAGAAATGCAGTCTTGGTCCCAACAAGCTCTCCAGGATTCTGATGCCCTCTCAGCGTTGAAAACCCCTGGCTAGAGGATGTCTAGGAAGAGGGAGCTCAGAACCTGGCACTAGTGGTTCTTACTGGATGCTGGCCAAGGTGGGCGGACCTTTTTGCCTGCCTTAAGATGCCTCTCCGCGTGGTCTTTGATCAAAGTATTCGCCACCCCACCCCACCCCCCCCCCCCCCGAGGAGGGCCACATGGCCTGCCTTGTGTCAGACCCAGGGACTGACTGTAGTTCAGAACCAAGCAGAGTGTTCCTTGGAATTAAATTCCTGGCAGAAAGTAGAATTCTTTTACTAATAGGGTTGCTAAAAGGGGAGGGAGTCTGGGCAGCGGTGCAGACAGCTGCAGATGGAAGAAAGTCAAGCAGAGACGAGTAGCTAGGAAATGGAGGTGACATTGAGACTCTGGCCTCCAGCTGGGACACCTTAATATCCCAGTTTCATGAGCCAGTAAGTCCCTTTTTAGTTTAAGTCTGTTTGCTTTAGGTTTCAGTACTTGCAACAAAAAGAAGCCTAGTTCAGTAAGTTTTAGAAGGTATCATTGTTCCCATTCACCCCATAAAATTACTGAGTGCCTACAAAGTAAAAGCCCTATGCTTGGGGCTGGGGATCAAGCAGGGGAAAGAACACGGTCCTGTCCTCAGAGGCTGAAGTTCAGGGGGCAGACAAGCATGTCAGTGGGGTAGAGTAAGTGCCATACAGAGGGGTGGTGAAGAGCTCAAACCCAGCAGTCCCCACACCACCCCCGTGCTACTTGCCTACACTTAGACTTAACCTCTCTGTAAAATGGAAATATTAGTAGCTACTTCATAGGCTAGATGGGCCTTGGAATAGTGCCTGGTGTATCGGGTAATAAATGTCACCTGCTAGTCTCACATGTTACAAGAGCTCAGAGGTGGGGTGCCTAACGAAGACCAAGAGGGTCAAGGAGGACTTTCTGGAGAAGGAGATGGAGTATGGAACACTGGCAAAGTAGCCTGGAAGTCAGGTCACATAGGTCGTGTAAGGCCTTTCAATTAAAGGCCTTTAAAATGCAGGGTTTTACCTTGAGGCAGCTAATGCAGCCTGGAGTAGGGCAGGGATGTGATCAGCTTTGGTTTCAGAAAGCTGCTTCTGGCTGCCACCGGGGGAGTAAATGGCAGGGACGTTAACTACTGCTCTCAGCAACGTGGTGAGCAATGGCGGGCGGCCTGAGCCACAACACCGAGTGGGCTCAGAGAGGAGGGATAAGGGTAAGGGGATAGAAGGAAAGTAGCAGGGCAGAGTAAATTACAAGCGGCAAGGGGGCTCCAGAACCCCTAACTTAGGCCCATCCCTCAGGGTACCATCTCTGAGATAAGGGAGCACTGGAGAAGAAGGTGAGGGGCATTTATCAGCTTAGGGCAGGACCAGTCTCAAGTACGCAGCACACAGGTAGAACAGTCAACAGGTACATGGGGCCACGGTTAAGAGCCTTGCTCTTGTTTCCACCAAATGTCCGCATCCCTGGCTACATCACCTCACTCTGCCTTGGTTTCCTGCACTGTAAAATGGGGAGAACACTATCCGACTGCCTCAAAGGTTGTTTGTACGAATGAGCCCTGCCTGCAAGGCACAGGGCCCAGCACACGGGAAGCAGTCCTAGTGACGAGGACTGATCCCGGCTGGAGATAAAAACTGGGGAACATGAATGGCTCAGCGAGGAGAGCCGAGAACACAAAGGACTTGGAGAGGGAGGACTGTGGCAAAGAATAACAGTACAGGTCAATGTTTCAAGGTGATAGTAGTGATATTAATAATAGCCTTTATTAAGTGCTTAGTATGTGCCACACTCTGTTCTAAGCGCTCTGCACGGCACACACTAGCTCGTTCTCACAACCCTGCAAGGTAGGTACTGTCATTATCCCCATTTTACAGAATAGGAAACCGAAGCACAGAATGGTTTGTCACCAGCAATGATGATTCAAACTCTAAAAGCGAAATCACCACTGCACTGCGTTAGCTTGGCCTTGATGCCTGCTCTAACTGATGGTGTGTGCAAAGAGCTCTGGAAGCCAGTGGGAGCAGGGATCAAGGGACAAGAGGGTATCTGAGCTGGGTTGAGAGTTTCGCCAGGCTTATTAGAGGAGGAAGGGCATTCCAAGGAGGGAGAACAGCATAAGCAAAAGCCCAAAGGCTTGAAAGCGCACCCCCACTGTCCAGAGCAGGAGCGACAAATTGCCCAGTGTGGCTGGAACCCGAGACGGGAAGGAGGGGAAAGGAATTTGGACTTGATTCTAGAAGCAAAGGGAGCCTTGAAGGTCTTTCAACAGGGGAGTAGCCAGGTCAGATTTCTTTTAGCTAGATCATGCTAATGGGCCCTGTGTTGAGGGCACTGGCCGGAGCTGGAGGCAGGGATCCAGGGTGGAGATGATGACGTCAGAACTTCCTTCCTGCCTTTTTTCCGCCCCCCCTCCTGTCCCATCTCCTGTATGGAGCACCTAGAAACGCCCAGAACAGACGAAGTAGAAAAAGTCAAGCAGGAATGAATGCTGCCCAGAACGGATGAGAACGATGCTCACTTTCCCATCCCCAGCCTGGTAGCCTGCACCCAAGACCCAAAGGCTCCAGGGCCGCCTGGGTGGCTCAGTTGGTTAGGCGACTGCCTTCAACTCAGGTCATGATCCTGGAGTCCCGGGATCGAGTCCCGCATCGGGCTCCCTGCTCAGCGGGGAGCCTACTTCTCCCTCTGACCCTACCCCCTCTCATGTACTCTCTCTCTCTCTCTCATTCTCGCTCTCTCAAATAAATAAATAAATCTTAAAAAAAAAAAAAAAGACCCAAAGGCTCCAGAAAGGAAGGACGGTGGGGAAGCAAAGGGGCCTCACCTCGGCATCCCCGGGGTTCCAGCCGCCTGCAGCGCCCTCACCCTACCCTCCATCCCCTGCACCCTCACCCCGACAGCTCCAAGCCCGCACC